GCTTACACCAGCAATTAATTTGTTCTGTATGAAAAGCAGACTCAAGCCATCACAAACTGGTACATGCTTCAACATATGCAGACAGTTATTGTAATCCTCTCTCGCTCTACCCCTCTGTTTCTTTTTACATCAGATGAAATTGTACCATGCAATTGTGGTCTACTAATTAAAGGAGCTCAATTAAGAGTTGAGGCTATCCTTCAATTTAAATAAGGCTGATTTGATAATTAACTTTTCTCTTTTTCATTATCTTACGTATACAATATGTGTAAACACAATAGAGTAAATGTAATTATAAATAATAACTAATCAATAATAAAATCAATAATTAATCAATGTACATTAATAAATATTTCTGATGTGAACGTTCGCAATAATAATTATAAGTTGAATTAGATATTTATTAATGTCTATCTAATGTCCATCACTTGACGCGTAGAAAGAGTGAATCTCATCGATTTCGCGAGACTCTGTATGTACCTCGAAAGCTGGAAATGCACAAAGTGATTAAGAATACGAAATATGAGCTACAGACGTGGATGATGATTAATGACGTATCGGTCATGTATCGCGCTCACGCTACACGTCTGTCCGCTTTCTAAGTCATCGTTATGAATACTGATCTCGGAGCATCGTCCGCCAGAAGAATAGCGGAGCTTTGTGATACGCTCCGTATATGAATGTAGAATACGTATCGATAACCGGAAATGGATACCCAACTCATACAAGCCATACCGGCATACCGGCATATGGATTTTACTTTCATATACATGCCGTATATGAAAGTCTTGCGCGGAGGAAACGAAATTATGGGCGAAAACCCCGGCAAGAATCAGGAGTTTATGGGTCTTTATCCATTAGTCAGCTTTAATGGGAATTAATAAATTTACTGTTTATCTAGAATCACGAGGCAAATTTCCTGCGGGCGTATTCCACTCGTATAGATTTATCTATTTATTTAATTTACCGTCATCAAAAAGAAAGACGTTTTAACGACGATATTCTATTAAGATAGCAACATTTTACATACGTTTATCCGGGTAGCGAGGTACCGGTTTATCGCTGTAAAACGTGAGATGCATGTATAATTGACAAGAGGTTTATCACGGCGAAACGTAAACCACGTGAGAAACGGCTTGAGAGCAAGCGAAACGTATTACGTTTGCCTCTAGTCGTCGCGAAGATGAAATATTACGCACACGTTTTCCTCATTCCCAGACACAATATCTCGTTTCGTTTCCCAACTGAGAGGCATACCTTGCGAATTTGGCGGAATTATCGTGGCGAACAAAAGTAATCTTCCCGGTTTCCCGCGTGTTTTCGACGCGTGACACTGATCGACTAATGGAGCAGAAGTGATCGAGCATTCGATCTATATTCCGTCGTGCCCGAACTTCGCTTTCGAACACACGATCCCTCTTAATACGCGAGTCACGCTTTGCGAAATCTCTCGAAGTCTCGCCGATTTATTTTGCCAAGAGTAATTCGTATTCTTCGCAACATCCTTCTTTACTTCCGTGAAATCGAAATAGCGATGTTGCTCACCGCACGACGCAAATCGATCTTTAACCCTCTCTACGGTCAACCCTCGTATATTACTCTCCTGTATTATTTTGTATAAATTTTCACTATATCGTTTTAAATGAAATTAATACAAGGAAAAATCAGGACAATAATATGTTTTTCTCATTTCTTCTTTTTTTGTTTTTAATAAAACATTCTATTAAAATGAATGAGAGAGAGAGAGAGAGAGAGAGATTTTTTGTAAAAGATATATCTCTATCTTCTAATACATAAATAGTTCAATCTTTTACATGTACGGATTTGAATGGACTGTTTTTCAATGCAAATTGTTCTTAATTCAAATAAAAAATATTAAATGATGGCTTAAGCTGTATAAAATTATTTAAAAATCAGATATATTAAGATACGAAGTAAAGCAGATAATACAGCTTTCCTAATTCACAATTAATATTGAAAAAACTTGATAATGCTTTACCTCTACATTGCTTATCTGACATGCGTGGCGATTTAAATAAAAGTAGTAACTTAAATTATTAAAGAAATTTAATTAATTTTAAATTTAACGTCCTCATAGTGACATTTTAACTACGTTTATAAACGCCAGTTAAACGTTCTCAGATATCTCGGGAATTAGCGTTGTTAAAGCAGATACAAGTTTCTGCGGAGAATATTCATTCGTCGCACAAAGGATGACTATCGATTTGCGCCGGACATACCGCCTGTATTGGCACGTACTCCTGCCGAAGGCAGAAGACGCGTGCAAGAGGGCGACGCGTAATGAAGAAAACCGGTTCTCGATTTTACAGGTGGGCGATCCGATACGTCGCGCGGCTACTCGTACAACGAAAATCTAAAACACTTCCCCGCCAGACATTCTTTCGTACGTAAAGTGGGTCACACCGGAAGAAACGAAAGTACGAAAGCGATTTCCGCATTAATTGCCAGCTGATCATCGTTGCGTGAAATTTTCGATAGCATTAGCACGGAGCATTCACGGAACAACTCGCGATCTAAATAATCTAAAGTGGTACAAATGGGGAATTAATCGGCAAAAATTAATACGCTATACGCAACATAAAATTCGCTAATTCATATGCCATATTAGGTCTGTTGTTTAATAACGAAGATATTGGAGTTTATTATTATAAATAAAACAATCAACCTCTGACCTAATTTCGAATGCAACTTCTCTCGATACATGCGCGTGGAAATAACAATCCGGCTGAAAATCAATAGCTGCAGATTTATAAACTCACATTTACGGCGTCGCATGATGACTTAACGATTGCCACGCGGGCGATTTTCAGCTCTGACGCAGCTACAAATTATCATGTATGAGACAGACGTTACGAGCGTGTGAAGAGTAAAAGAGAGAAGGAGAGGGGACTTTATTAGCTCTTTCGACTCTCATCAATGGCTCTTAAAATTGTCGACCACACCTCCGTTAGATTCTTGAACTCGCCCGCTGCACTTTCACCGGTCATTTATTTTCCAAAAACGTACGTCATCGGCATACTTTTAACCGATAGCCGATTCGACGACAATAGAAACGGCATAGAAATGACGTGCGTATAAAAGAGTATTGCGGAATATTGACGAAATTTGTAATTCATCGACAGGAATGACTGAGTTTTTCACGCGTAATTTTCACCGTTATTAGAAATTAATACAAGAATTCATTTTCAGAGACGTTAAATCTGTCAACTCACGTGCATAATTATTCAGAACGTTACTGCATAATATTTACAGCACTTTTTAATTAATTTGGATTCGTTATTCTCTGAATGAAAATTTAAGTGAATTATTTTTTCATAATCTTATCCATATCCTGAGCGTTTTCAACGCTCAGTGTCTATTAAGAGCTAAATGTCAACTCTTATTACAACAAAAAACAATTCAAGATAAAGTATAATACAGAAAAATGGTTTTATTATTTATTATTTTTTAACGCCTGAAGAGAGGAATTGTGATTGAAAATAAAAATATCTCTCGTAATGTAAGAATTATATTGACAGTGTTCCAAATATTTTTCCCGATAAATAAAATAGACTCGACAAAATACAAATACAACATAAAAATACAAAATCTAAATAATGGCTGCAAAGTTTATTCAGTAACATACTGCGTGTGGAAGGTACATAGATACCGCTTGATAACAATTCCACACAACGTGTACAAAACCGCGGAGTGTTCTGTAAGATAATCGATTAGTCAATTCCCGCAGCTCCACTTAGGTTAATTAATTCCACTCGTCGTTTACACACACCATCTATATCGCTTATAATAGCTCGACTTCGTGATCAATCCTCTCATCAAGTTTCACGAATGTAATTTCGTAATCGGCAAATAAGATCGGTGTAACGGTTAATCGAGGGGTCAGCTAATTTACCGTCTCGGTCTCGGTCTCCCGTGCATGAACGTTAGACGTAACAACACAGCCTAGCGCGGCTCGATATATCGGGCACGTCGTGAAACTGTATTAATTCGTCGGCTTTTCGTCGATCGATCGACGGCGGGAGACACGGGAGGCTCTGAGAAAATACACGAGATGGTTGCCATAGAAAGCGCGCTGCACGATAAATCCGACGTAAAGCCGCGCAAGACGTGCTTTATTGCGGTACTAAAAACCTTGACGAGACTACCTTTCTCTTGATGTGCACCCTTTATGTTTAATGAAACCGCGAATTGCACGCAGCTAATGTCTGTACTTCGTTTAAATCGCGGAATTCACGACTCGTTTTCACGGATCTATTAGAACAGTGTCATTACTACGAGTGAATCTTTGGTCTTTTATCCTTCTTCCTAAGATACGAGTACGTTCGTCGCGTCGTGAAAAGTAGATTCATATATTCATATATTAAACTATTTTAGACAATGAGAAATGTCATAATATGCTGCGTGAGACAAATCGTTGAATATAAAATTAATTTTGAAATTCTGTTAGAGAGACAAAAACAGAGCACCGAGTGAGAGCATCTCGAAGCGAAACGCGGCAGTGAATGCATATACACGTGACGAGTAGAATAACGCCGCAATACAATTTGCCGGAACATATGCAAACAAGACAGTCAATTGTATATATGTAGTGGCCAAGAGAACTTTATTAACGTCGGACATGATATAGTATCGTTCGCGGTTGTGCAACGTCCGTCGTACAACGAACTGCTGCATTCAATTAAGGGAGTGCATCGGTGAGTCGACGTGCTTAGCAGGAAACGTCCGAAGCGCGATCGATGCACTTCGCAAACGCATGAAATTTATATTAATTAATTAGAAATTTCGTTTTATACACAATTCTGCCGGTCGAATTCGAAATTAATTGCCGAATTAAATTAATCGAAATTTTGGCGAAATCGACTGTTAATCGAGAGACCAAGACGAAATCGGAATTACCGATGCAGCAAGATGCATATCCGCGAGATGTCACCATCATCTTGAAATGGCACAATTCCAAAAATAACCCTTCGCTATTTACGTCATTCGGCTCGGGCGGCTGGATTTAGGTTAGGTTAGGTGACGCGTATCGATCGACCTGTAGCGTTTGACAGGTGGGATTCCTTGTCACAGTGTTGATAAGGGCTGTCGGAAATACTGAAAAATGGAGAAACGCGCATTTACGTGTTTCTTCGCTCTGGCGATTTTCTTTAAGTTCACGTGTTGCTACGACACGAAGAAATACTCGTTGATCATGCCAAATGTCAGACCGAACACGGTAAGTAATATAAAACTTCAGTGTTTTTACCTACGAACAATACATATACGACATAATGACGTGATAACATATGTAACGGGATCTAATGACGTGACAATTACATATGTCTCTTGCAACGCATAAAATATGTATAAACTATCGCACGGTTTTTGCAAATATATACACTTTATATTATCTTTAATTTAAAATATAAACAAAATTAATTCAATGGCTCCAAGATAAGATCAAATCCACAACTTAAAATACGAGTCGTTGCGGTTGTAAGTGCAATATATAAAATTAAACACGTATTATGTACAATACATTTACATTTAATAGCAAGAAATTTTACAGATGTTTCGATCCTACTTTTGAATCCTCTTCAGTGTGTGAAAACAGTCAAAAAATTAATAGAACAGCTATGTCCTCTCATTTTTTCTGTCCTTCAAGCATATACATAAATGTTGTAAGAAGAGATAAGAAATCAAGCTGAATGAAAAACATAAAACGTTACGACTATTGTCGGTGTAGAGTATCAACATATGAGTGACACATCTACATTGGCAATAGTCATAATGTTTTATATATTTCTACGTGTATTTTCTCGACTTGAGCTCTTATCACTTCTCACAAGAATTTATGTATATGTGTGAATGATTGAAAAAATGAGAGGATATAGTCATCACTGTTCTATCACATGATGTAAGCAGACTCTTCTAATCGTTACTACATGTTCACACACTGAAAATGATCCAAAAGTTATAGGATCGAAACATCTGTAAAATTTCTCGCTATTAAATATAAATGTGTACATAATACGTATTTAATTTTATACATTGCACTCACAACCACGACTTTTATTGAAAATTTTAAGTTGGATTTGATCCTTAATTTAATTTTTATGGTGACTTACTAATTATTACGCTTAATGCTAGTTTATAAATAATCTTAATTTTTTTTAAAAGTAATTTACATAATTTTTTTAGAAATAATGAAAATAAAAATTATATCTGACATTTTTTGTTCACAGCCCGAATTATATTTATGCACTCCGATTAGGGTAGACTCTACAAGAAATTATTATATTGTTGGTTTCGAGCCAAATGCAACAATGGCAACAGCTCACCATATGCTTGTCTTTGGTTGCACACAACCAGGTAGTTCAAAGGCAGTTTGGGATTGCGGAGAAATGGCGAATACTAACAGCAAGGTAGATACTGCACCTCCATGTGCAGACGGAGCTCAGGTAATATTAATATCACAAAACAAATTTCACGAATGTATTTTAGATAACCTGTTGAAGAAAAAAATTCATTTATTTGTACAGGTGATTTATGCTTGGGCAAGGGATGCTCCTCAATTCGATCTACCAGAAGGTGTTGGTTTTAAAGTAGGCGGCGATTCTCCCATCCAATATATCGTATTGCAAGTGCATTACGCACATATTGACGACTTTAAGGATGGCAGAACAGATGACTCAGGTGTATTTCTGCATTATACTACGCACAAGATGGACAAATTGGCCGGAGTTATTGTATTAGCAACAGGCGGTGTCATACCGGCTAGGAAAATGACACATATGGAAACGGCTTGTCCCATACTAGAAAATAAGACTATTCATCCGTTTGCATTTAGAACGCATACTCATTCGCTCGGAAAAGTCGTGTCCGGATACGTAGTGAAACCGAATAACGATTGGATTGAACTTGGTAAGAGAGATCCACTAAAACCTCAGATGTTTAATCCGGTCACCCACAAAGTTCCAATCACGTATGGTGATACGTTAGCTGCCCGTTGTACAATGAAAAATACACGCGACAGGATTACGTACATAGGCAAAACAAATCAAGATGAAATGTGTAACTTTTATCTTATGTATTACGTCGACGAAGGCTCTCCGCTTGAACGGAAATCTTGCTTTACCCCTGGGCCTCCTTTGTATTATTGGAAACAAGAGTTAAGTAATATCCCTGACAGAGAGGCATCTACTTTATAAGATATCAATGAGTGTCATTTGGTACAAAGAGATAGATCGATTTTGTTTTATCAAGAGAATTAGATAAAATCCAAATGTTTCTGCAGAGTATTTAAACGCATTTGAATCCAACTCGTCAATGATAGAGTCGATATTTGGGGACCATACTGTCCTAATATAATTTATGACAGATCTTTTAATAATTTATTATTCCTGATGCAGCTTTTTTACCAATTCAGTTTATTCTATCACCATTCCTTGTGTTTAGAGTTATGTGTTCAATTTTGAAGCAACTCTCTTGGAGGTGTTATCTCAGCATAGACTATATATTATTTGTCTGTCATACGCACAAATTATTCTGAATTAATTTTTTACTTATACTCTTTTTAAACGATTATAAGCATTGTATGAATTGTGTAATCAGGGTACATTGTACTTATTTTACGTAAATTTTGGAAGGACTCTATATCAATTTATAATACTGAAATACCTCTTCTTGTCAATTCTTATAAATGTGGCATATGATTATTTAAATTACTATTACAATGTATGCTGCGTTATTGCCGATGGATTGTATGTAATAATGACTGCATTCAGGAAGCATACCATCAACGCGCTCCCCGAACGCAGCCAATTATATGTAATTTTCATGACAAAAGAAAGTCTAAATTGTCCAACGATTATAGATTCACTTATTGTTTGATCAGTTATTGTTTTACAATATTCTTAACTACTGTTTTCTTTTGAATGTACATAATTTAATCAAAAGTACCGTGTTTTATCCGATTAAAAATGTTATCGCGTATATTTATATTAAAGCGCCATTCAGATGTGATATAGAAAGGTATATATTAATCTTTGGCCTAGTTTCAGTTAATATTTATTATTATATTATATGTTATTTAAAAAGATTGGAGAAATTATTGGTGACAATGCTATACGGTTGCATGTGCAATATAATTCTTGATTTATTTTAATAATCAATTTATTGAGATATAGAGCAGTATATTGTATTTAGAATTTTGGAGCCACTTGTACGATGCATTTAAATAATTCCATGACTGATTATAAAAAGCACAACCGTTTGCGAATCTATTCGTTAATCATAGTATATATGTATATACGTATATGGCGAGAGGATACTATTTTCAAATGTTGCGAAGCCTTTTTTTCGAATATCTTCTCTAGACTGTACATATATAATGCTCAGGAATCTCTATTCCTGGAGACTGCATAAGTGTTAAATGAAGAGATATAAATACAATTAATTAGCGCAATTTCCCGCGATATCATTTATGGATATTTATTTTCCATATTTATTTTCACATGTAAATTTGACAATTGCCTCCGGGAAGAAATCTAATTGTGAAATATGTATTTCAATAAATGACGTATACGCAAAAGTTGTCTAATCTCTCATTTCCATATATTAAATAACAATATTAATAATCTTCTATGTTAACAAAATAAAGTTGCTATTTGAGTTAATCACCAATTAATTTGAATTTTCATTGATGTCGCTCTAATAATTGGGGACGAGGAAATAAAACACAGATAATCACAGTATTGTATAAAATTCAAATGCAATGAAATTCGGTTCATAAATTCACTCACCGGCGTTGTACCCTAGCTAAGTACGCTCTTGGCTGCACCTGGAAAAATTAATAATATATTCTAATAAATCATAAACATTATTGCACACCTCATATGCCGATTACACATATATATCTAATCTAACATTTTCATTTAATTACTCCAAAAAATATTCGACAAATATTTTATACGTGACGCGTTAAGAACATTCCTTAAAAGAAATATTTTCAAATATTACGACAAATTTTCACAAATAATTAAAATTGTGTTCGTCATTGTATATGCACATATTAATTTAAAAAACAAAAGTTAATCTAATCAATTCAATAATTTACCAGCTAGGATATTGTAGTTAACAAAAATGCCCGCGTCAGTCCTATCCAGGGAACGATGAGCCCAGGAAACGAGGAGTACCGGAAGTGGACACTACACACAACTTTGAAACTTGACTTGCGCATTTTGCGGGTCGAAGAAACGCGAATTTACGGCGTCATGTTGCAACACGCGAAACCGAAGTACGTATGCTCTGCGACACACAATTTTCGAAGCAGATAATTTCTGTTAGGTGCGACATATTAACAATAATCAGTTTCTTCGACACTTTACTTTCGATCTCTAATCGCCGATCGCGTCCCGACCGTCTCCAAAAGAGCGCACGATTCGGTCTTGCGGATCTGCGGCAGCGCACGAAGTCCGCGATCTCGGCGTCCCGCAGCTAGTCGTCTTGATTTCAGATCGCGGTACGATCACGAGTTTACACGACTAATCGTCGTACGGTAGTAATACGCCCGTTACTTTAATCGACACTCCCGACACAAAATCGCGCCCGCAACGCGTTCTTGACCGATAAATTTTCGAATATTCACGGAGCGACTGTGCACACCACCCGAACCGAACGCACCGCCGAAGTGTCATGGCGGCTGGACGGCCGCCCGTAAACTGGCGCCACCCATTACGGGAACTACGGGAACTACGTAGCTTCCATTGTCGATAAAATCACAGAACGTCGATAATGGATGTGGTTCGAGGTTCGAGTCTGAGCTACCACGTGCCGCTATCACCTGACGTAAGTGATACGTGCTAGATAAAGATGGACAATTAAAGAATGGATATAGAAAAATTAAGAGAAAAAATATATGCAGGGTATCCGCTACTCAATGGTATAGCGCTCGTGGGCAGGTAGAATGGACCAAACTGAATAAAAAATTCTGTACCATTTTGCGATCTTCGCAATTATAGTTTTCGAGATATTAATATACATATAAAATTCGTCGAATCTGAACGCGCGGCGAGATACGCCCGCCCGTCGCGGACCGCGGTCGCCACCCCCGCGCGCCTAGCGCGCGGCGTGCGGGGGAGGTGAGCCGCGGCATTGATGAGCGTGCAATTACCCCCGCGCACTAGGCGATCGCGTAGTGGCGTTAAATCAATTACCCTCACCAAGCGCCGCGCGCTTGGCGCGCGAGGAAGGCGACCACGGTCCGCGGCGGACGGACGTATCTCGCGCGTTCAGATTCGACGAGCTTTATATATTAATATCTCGAAAACTATTGCAAAGATCGCAAAATAATACAGGACTTTTTTGTTCAGTTTGGTCCATTCTACCTGCCCACGAGCGCTGTACCATAGCGGACACCCTGTATAGCAGGGAAAAAATTATTTCTTTAAAAAACTTCAAAAATTTTCAATTTGTGAAAGTAAGAATTAGAGATTAGAGATAACAAATTATATAACATATATTATAAGTCGAAATTTTGTCGTTAAGCAATTATGCGCTTATCGGTTGAATGATAAGTTGACCGGGGGATCAAAGTCGATTTTGGAATTAAATCACGATGTTAAAATCCATATTAATGGGAAAAAAACAGAACACTAGGAAAAATAACTGAATCGATCTTGAACTGTGCAATCATCTGATCAGTATTTGTTTTGAATATCATAAAGAAGTAGCTATATTTGTAATAATTAAAGCTCATTAATTATGAAATCATTTATGAAACTATTAATATATCGCAATAGCATGTCGAAAATCATCGCGACTGCATCGTAATTACGTTGCATAAGCCATTCGAAATTCGTTTTAACATTACATATTGTGTTGTGCATACGCTTCTCTATACGCTCTTCTCTGATGAACGGAATTGAGTTTGTAACAGTGTTTCCTAATAAAACTTTGTCACGAGATGCACGAGATTCATGCCATAATTTGATTCACGTCAAATTACCGAAAATTACCGATCACATATTCATTTACGTCAATTACGCAGAGCCATCATAAAATTGCTATTAAAAATGTAAAAATATACTGTTGTATAAAAATATTATTAGGTTGTTTTGTAACGAATATTTTTCGTAACAATTTTATATCAAAATTTTGTTTCACGGATCAAGATCACATCTTGAGAAAACGCGCGCCACTTGAGCTAGCTGTAAGACGTATAAAATATGATATAGACGTTATTGATTGCAGATCAATTTGACGACACGACAAAAAGTTGTCTGGAACTTATAACTTTATTTTTATTGTGATGAAAGTCTAGTACATGGATTTAAAAATAGTTATAAATGCCGGAACTGTCAATAAAATCTATAAAAATCTTTAAAACTATCGGAAAAGAACAAAAAGACGACTGGAATTGGCATTAATATAGGACTTTATTTTTGTAATGCGGCACACGGGTTTAAAAATTATTTAAAAATAGTTAGAGTCCAAAACTGACACTGAAAGAATCTATCAGGATATATAGAACTTTTCGAAAATTATAGAATTTCGTCAAAATTAATTTTTGAAATTTAAAGTGCGTGCGAAATTAGAACCTTATCATATTTTTCAAATGGTATTTTTTTAATTAAATTACTAGAACTATTATTTAAACTTATATTATAAACTGTTGCGGATACAAACAAAATTACTGATAAAACTTTCGACTTTTTAAAATGAGGTCTCACAATTTCACAAAAACGGGCTAGGTCCGTTTCGCGTATCGATTGACCTGTAGCGTTTGACAGGTGGGTTCCTTGTCACAGAGCTGATAAAGGCAGTGTAAAATACTGTTTGAAAATGAAGAAACGCGCGTTTACATTTTTTTTGGCTTTAGTGATTTTTTTTAAGTTCACGTGCTGTTATGACACGAAGAAATATTCGTTGCTCATGCCAAATGTGAGACCAAATACAGTAAGTATAAATCTTTTATGATTAATATATATTTATATACAACACAATACTTTAACAATATGGCTATGACGACATGGCTTTTGCGACACGTAAAAATATGACGTATAAACTATTACACAATCAAACAGTCTTTTTGCAAATATATCTATACACGCTTTGTTTTTATCTTTAATTTAGTTTCTTTGACAATTTATCAAGTACTACACTCAGAGTGTTAATGTATAACAAGTAATCCCTTAATTATTTTTTTCAGAATAAATATTATATTTGACTTTGTTTACAGCCCGAATTGTATTTATGCGCTCCGATTAGGGTAGACTCTTCAAGGAATTATTATATTGTTGGTTTCGAGCCAAATACATCAATGGCAATAACTCACCATATGATGGTTTTCGGTTGCAAGAAACCAGGTAGCTCAAAGTTAATTTGGGACTGTGGAGAAATGTCGAATACTAACAATAAGGCAGATACAGCACCTCCTTGTGCAGAAGGAATTCAGGTAATATTATCATTACAAAACAAATTTCACAAACATATTTTAGATATACTGTTGAAAAAAAGAATATATATTTATTTGTACAGGTCATTTTTGGATGGGCACGGGATGCTCCTAAATTCGATTTACCAGAAGGTGTGGGTTTTAAAGTAGGCGGCGATTCTCCCATCCAATATCTCGTAATGCAAGTGCATTACGCACACGTTGAAGGTTTTAAGGATGGCAGAACGGATGATTCAGGTGTATTTCTGCATTATACTACGCAAAAAATAGATAAGCTGGCCGGAGTTATTGCGTTAGCAACAGGCGGTTTCATACCGGCTAAGAAAACGGCATATATGGAATCGGCTTGTTCTATAACAAAAAATAAGACTATTCATCCATTTGCATATAGAACGCATACCCATTCGCTCGGGAAAGTCGTGTCCGGCTACGTAGTGAAGCCGAATAACAATTGGATCGAACTTGGTAAGAGAGATCCACTGAAACCTCAAATGTTTCTCCCCGTTACCCACAAAATTTCAGTCACGTATGGTGATACAATAGCTGCTCGTTGTACAATGAAAAATACGCGCGATAGAACTACGTATATAGGCTTAACAAATCAAGATGAAATGTGTTACTTTTATCTTATGTATTACGTCGA